TGTCTTGTACAGGGTTTCCCGATGTGAGGACCGGTCGGGCGATGATTTCCGCAGTATGTTAAAGATTTTAAAAAGTCCATCGTAACGGCTGTAGCCATAGATCTTTCACGTTTGGCAAAATCTACTGTATAAGGGGGTAACACATGGTCTAGTACTGATAGCGTATTTGCATCTATAAATTGATGTAGCTTTTCATGATCGTAATTAATAATCGAGACGTACATTTTGATTAATGTTTGCTGACAGAGCAGAAGAGCTGCATTGGAGTAGCGATGCCGTTATAGCTCAAGTATGCGTCGTGATTTCAGCTTTCTGTTTCTCCTGAACCCAAGATAAAACGATGGGCTGCTTTGTTGCCAAGACTGTGGTTAATAGTTACTGTCTTTTATGATTGGTTCACCCTAGTTAATTCTAGCTTTAGTTATTGCAAGTAATTTACCTTCACTGGTCCAGAAAAGCGACACAGCGATGTTACATTTAACTGCACCAATTAAGGCTGTCGAAGCATCGAAGGATTTTACAGCCCCGACTTTTATTGCGACTTCGGTCACAATAAAATGTCTAACACCGCGTCAGCCTTGCTGTGGGAAATGTCTGAAACATACCATGCACGCTGGTAGGGCAACAATATGTTGTGGGCAAACATGTGAAAAGAAATCCATCGATTATGTAACTTCAGTTTTACTGTATGCATGCCACTGGTACAAGTTATGTCGATGTTTCACACGACAGGTACCCGCCGGTAAATATTTATACGTACAAAGCTCAACCGATATTATGTACGAGATTCAGTTATTAATGTTTTATAAAATTGATCTATTTTCTGTTGTAACAGTCCAGACATTTTGAATTATACAAAAAGTATACTTTTTTGCGACACTTTCTGTCGCAGTAAGATGATGTTTTCGCCATCTGAGCCAATTGGAGAATTTACGTCATCGAACTGCGTCTCTGCCCCGCTACATCGGAAGCTTTTTCAGAGGCGGCGGAAGATCACGAAAATGGCGGCGGTGTCCACAGTTTCAATGCAGGACAGTAGCCCAGCAAGAGAACTTGGTATTCAGACTGGTAGTGCCCTAGTAGTCGGAGATAGGATAAAAGTAGAGGAGGGAACAGGTAAATGCTATAATTAAGATCTTAGTCAATCACATTCTTTTCCCAGATGTATTGTACAGACAAGGAATCGCAGTCAGCTAGCCTGTTAGTCGGAGTTACTTATGTTATACATATATACACACAACTTTCTTTGTAACTGTTTCTTTGGATTTTGTCTAATTATTCGTGCCTGATGTTATACGACAGACACTTGGATTTTTTAAATGTACTTTATTTATACATGTATGGAGGTGGATATAATATTTAAGTGATTTATGCGTAACTACCGTGCTCAGGGTACGCCGTGAAAGCGTTCTGCGATCTGTTGTTTATGACGTTTTTTGTTTTCCACCACTTTGCTAAATGTTTCATCTTTGTTATATCATTGCTGTTTTTTTCATTATTAAAATCACTTCTTTTCAGAATAGCTTTCTAGGAAACTAATTTTGAACCAGATAAATAAATTTTGTTTCCGATTGGTGATAATAAAAAGGACTGATATTTTAGTGGAAAGAGTATTTGAGTATTTTTGTTATTATTCCATAGGACACCATATTTTTGCGATGTAATCTGAATGTCAGTCTGCTCCTCTCCACAGAAGCAGAGAAGCAGAGTCGGATGAATGCCCTGCTGGAAAGGCTCCATGCTAAATACAATACTGCACGCCCATGGCAGGAAACCAGCAAGGTGGTCCGGCAGGCTATGGTGAGTGGGGGTGCTGGTATGCTTAGGGGAGGCCGCAGGAGCTTTCGGTGCAACATTGCTTTGTCATTGTTTGCACATCTAAATGTTCTGAGGCTTCCCTGGGGGGAGAATGGGAAAGTGTGCATAGTGAAGTTTCCTACATTGCTGCAAAATGTTTGTTAGACTGGTGCAGCGGCCTCACGGCAGTGGGGAGGGATGTGGGGGAGGGGCCTTGTGATTAAGACAGTCTATGGGTAGCATTCTGCGGTTCGGCAGGGGTGTAGGGGGTGTCGTAGGTGTACAGGCTGGTCCAGCAATGAAGAATGGTAACGTGCTAAGAATTTCTGCCCACCAGGAGAAGCGTGGGGTAATGAATGCTACTGGCCATCAGCTTCTTCTCACATGCCTAGAAACGCTGCAGCGTGCCCTGAAAGGTAAGTGGTGAGAAGTGAATCTGGGTGCCATTTGGGGCCTCAGCCGCCTACCTTGTATGTGCTTCACAACTTTCATTTATGGTCTCTCATCTCAGTGATCTCCCTGCCCTCTATGACGGACCGTCTTGAGTCCATTGCTAGACAGAACGGGTAAGTTCAGGGGACGCAGCCTTCATGCAGTCTGTTGGTCAAATTTGACTGAGAGGTGTAAGTGATGGCAGAGCCTAAATTGAGCCCCCTGCTGCCCCTGAATAGGCTAGGCTCCCACCTCAGCCCCTCTGGGACAGAGTGCTACATCACATCAGACATGTTTTACGTCGAGGTGCAGCTAGACACGGGAGGACAGCTGGTAGATGTCAAGGTGGCGCATCATGGAGAGAATCCTGCGGTGAGTTCTGCTTATTTGGAGCTGAGGGGGAGAATAGGATGAACAGGAATATGAGAAGGGGGTTTCTGTGGATGGTGGAATTATATGTGGCAAATCAAATATTTTTTTAGCTAGTGATGTTTCACCCTTGCACTCTGCTGGCTCTTGTTCTCTTACAGAGCTGCCCAGAGCTTGTCCAGCACCTTCGGTATGGCCTACACTGAACACTCATGCCCTTTCCTGTAGCTCACTCTGGTTGTTGCAGTGAGCCACATGCTGATCTGTCCCCTCTTCTGTTTGCCTGTAGAGATAAGAACTTTGAGGAATTCTCCAAACACCTCAAGGGTCTGGTCAACTTGTATAAACTCCCTGGAGACAAGTAAGTCCCTCAACCTCTTTCACACCAAGCCGGTACTGGTGTCGGTGCTCAGCTGGTACTGGCCTGGAGCTCACATCAGCCCCACCAAATATCGTTTGACATTGACACGGCACTTGGTGCTGAAAGAGTAGAAAGATGACGTCAGTGTGTGTGTGTTGCGGTGGGAGGGGTACTGTTTTGGAAGTAAAGACAAAAATGGAGGAACATGCAAAATTCGATGAACGCAAGACTTTTTTTGAATTTACTGCAAAAATAATGATTATATTATTTATTTAGCTTTATGTGCCCTGCAAGGAAGTCCTCCAACCTACAGGGAAACTTGGGGGTTGGTGGCAGGATTGGCATTCTAGCCACTGGAAAAAATTACACTGGTTCATTCGGACTAGTGTGGTGCTGAAGTATCACCCACTGCACCCGCTGCACTCAGGTTCGTCATGTGATAGGTGCGGCAATGTGCTGTAATCAGCGTACGCCCCTTACCTCTCTCTTTATATGTTATTGTTCCTGGTTTTAACCCAACACAGTTCATTTGAAATTTGAGTGCCCCAAATTTACATTTTAAAGCAATTTGTGCAATCATAGATTGTTGTAACAGCGCAAATGCGTCACTTATGTACATTTATGCTGATATGACAAGAAATTACTGTGCATTTTAACCTTTATATTGCAGCTGATGTATGAATTAGCATAGAAAGGATAAAATATATAGTAATTTCTTGTCAAATCAGCGCCAACATAACCAAGCATTTAACGATATGCTGTTATGTCTGACGGATCCTTGCAAGTTAAAGTTCATAATCACATTACAAGTAAACACAACAATAACAACTTAGCCAATTCCTCCAAAGCGGTCATGGAGATCAGGGGGGTATTCCAGAAAGCAGGTTATGTGACATACCTGGGTAAGTTTAAGGGTAAGTTAGTGGATAACCTCAACTTTCGGTTCCAAAAACGGAGGTTAACTTTCTGGGTATGTACGTAACCATAGCAGCTTACTCTCTGAAGATAACCTGCTACTGAGCAGGTTATGTTCCAGGGTAAGTTTGTTGCAGAAGGTTACTGAGCATGGCGTGCCCTTTTGATGACGATCCTGTGGACGTGGAGGCACAAATTATACAAGGTTTTTTTCGCCGGGAGAGAGTTATAAGACCGCGTATTGATGTCTTTTCATTTCCTAATGACTATTTGAAAAAGCGTTATCAGTTTTCAAAATAATCGTTAATTTACTTAACATCTCTTGAAACCGCATATTGCAAACCGCGGGTCTGCGCTTAGCACAGAAAACATTCTCTACATAGCACTTCGGTTTTTTGCGTCGGCATTTTTTGTATAATATGGGCGACGCAGAGCATGTAGGAAAGGCAACTGTGTGTAGAGTCGTTCGCACAGTATGTCTGGTACTTAACGCTTCTTACACACGTTTGTACAGTTCCCTGTCCATAAAGCTCTGCGTGTTATTAAAGAGGAATTCCACAGAGTGGTAGGTTTGTCCTTTGTAGTAAAATCTATGATGCATATTTAATATGTAGTCATACTATTTATATCTATAGCCTACATGTATTCAACCTGCACACACACACACTTGATACTTCCATATATGACTTTCTATTTCAGGGTTTCCAAATGTAATTTGTAATACATGTATAGTGACAATAAAAGGCATTAATTCATTCATTCATAATTGGGTGCATTAAAGCTCCTTCAATAAATGAGGGAGACTATGTTAATAGGAAATCTATTCGTAGTATCAATGTGCAGGTAACTTGATTTTGTATCCTTAATTTTTTGCCTTGTTAAAATCATCAAACTCATTACTTTTTTCCACTAACTATAGGTAATCATTACAGGACACTACAATGCTGGTTACCACTGGTTGCCCTCAGAAGGGGTGAGGGGAGGTGGTGGTGGGCCCCCGCCAGTTAGACGGGCTTCAGCCTTTTTTCTATTAGCTACATGACAGAAAGAATATACTAAATCGTGTTTAATAAATAGTTCAGTGATCGTGTAATCAAATATTACCTTTTTGCAGAATGTTTTTGTGTTTCATTTTGACTTGGCTCAAAGTTCTTCTGGCTCCAGAAGGATTACACCTTATTAAATAAGAAACCATATAAAAGTAACTGCTTTCATAGTGATTTAACAGTCAAAAGGATGCGGAAGGGTTACGTGTTTAATTATTTTGCATTATAATAAATGCAAAATGGCGATGTCAAATTTGCAATTTAATACACACGCATTTACTCTGTCCGTTATTTTTTGCCAAGCCAACTCTTTCTTTAGCCGATGCAGCCGTATTGCTTTTTTTCATTATTATTGGCTTGAATTCCTCATATGCGTGCATTAAAACTTCCAACTCCGCCTCTGTGAAGTATGCCGCTCTCTTTTTTTCACTTTGATTTTCCATTCTGACTCGTGAAATCGGCGATCAATTGAAAACGTCTTTGTGTGCACGGTGCACGCGCATTAACTCTGGGTAAGCAATAGGAGGTTGATTGAACTTACTCTTCTCAGGTGTTTTGGAACCGACATACTCATGGTATGCGGGTTTGGGGTATATCAACCCAGAGGTTAAGATTTACCAAATGGTAAGTTAAGCAAGCTTTCTGGAATACCCCCCAGTTCTCCAGTCACCTGGTTAGCAGGTGTGTTTACAAACATGAAGTTCATGATATTTGTTTTTGGGGCACAACTTTTATTTAGCTATCTTTTCAACTTTCTGTATACATATATTTTATTTTTTAAATCTTGCTCCATTATTCTGATAACACCTGCCTTCTCCAAGTCATTCGGCATTGCTTCATAAACTTTTGCTTTCTGCTGTAACAACTGACTCTGGCCCAGCAGTCTTTCAGGGCCAGAAAAATGAGCTCCAGCCCAGATATATTGGCCCTGTACTGCTGTTATTTTTGGTGTGAATGCAACGACTGGGCTGGAATTTAGGCTTGGCACGGGCACCAGCCCTGGTGTGAAAGGGCTAATAGTCCACGGTTAGAGCCGAGGTCACTGCGATAACGAAAATATTGTAGCCAGCTGCTTCTGTGGTGTGGGCCCTCCTTGTGGGTGGTTCTGCTTATCTGCTGAATCTGCATTCTTGGTCCCAGTTCTAAGGGGGTCTTTTGTAGTCTGGCTTTGGTTCCAGCTGAACTCTTACTTAATGAAGGTTTGGTTTTTGGCACTTGAGTAGGGCGTTGATCTGATCCATAGTTTATACACAGTGGATCTTTTAACCGGAATGTTATTTGGTGGGAGATCAATTGGTTTATCACATATTTTGTTGAACTTGTATGTAAAACAAGGTATTTGACTAAAATTATATTTGAAATCCTAGAGCTAAAACATCCTGTAATGTAATAGAGGTGCAATGATCTGATATTTGGGATCGGTATCAGCACCAATCCATACCTATTAGATGGATCAGGTATCGGCCATATGTGCTTTTAACTCATGTCACTAATCTTTGTAAAAGCAAAGTTTTGAGAGATGGAGGCAGCATTTAGTGGAAAATCCCACTAAACAAAGCACATGCAATTGTGCAAGACAACATAAGTAATAGGGGTGTAACGGTTCACAAAAATCACGGTTCGGTTCGGTACGACACAGTGGTGTCACGGTTCGGTATGTTTTCGATACAGCAAAAAATGCCAGATAATTTCTTAGATTTTTTTTTTCCACTTTTTTATTTATTTAAACATCAAAAAAATATGATCTTGTTTTTTTTCTTTTACTTTAAACAATGATGAAGCTATTCTTCACCCATCTTCTGAGGTTTCTTTTTAGCAGCAAATAATACAAATCCTCCTTTATAACCAAAACCAAAAAGATGAGTGTGTCCACATTTTATCCACCACTCTCTTGCCATCACCCTCATAACTTACAGGGAAACCAAAGTGCTCCCAAACTCCAGACCTGTTGGTTATAGGAGGATCATCTATTTCTGGTCTGATAATTGCATTAACATTACTAGCCATTTTGCAACGAGCTAGTGCAGCAAATGCCTGACTGACTGGAGTAGTGTTTGGGGGTGGGAGGGGCAGTCAGCATGTTGCAAAACATTATATTTTACACACTTTATTCTCTTATTCCCTCTGGAGTCTAGGGGTAGGGAACACTCTTTCAATGATTGGGGCATGATCAAACATTTCATTCAATAGCATAAACTTAATTCATGGCAAATTATTTCTTATATATTTGTTTTGGCATTAAACTCATCTTTATCTTAGTGTACTTTGTAAATATGTCAGATTTATGTTAAGTTTGTAATTCGACATCAAAGTATAGACATTGCAAAATGCAGCTTGGAATAATTGCAGACACATAATAAAAGTATATAGTAAGCAATGCTGGCAGTTTGTTTTGATCCAAGATATCTGATCAACAAAGTCTTGGCTACATGAAGATGACTAAATGGTATAGTTGCAACATTCAGTTGGATAAATAAATAAGAAAAACCGAACTCATGTCACTATTTCTGGCTCATTTCATTTAATATGTAGCAACTTTCATGTGTATGAATGAGCCATTGTGACCTGGCCACGTCCCTCCCCCCCTTTTATGGCTCTGACTGGAACGTTTCTGGATCGCGTTTCACCGTTGCGCTGTTAATAAAATTACCATGCGAATGGGAATGGGATGTGAATAGCGATCTTCGGTTGAGAGTGGTACTACACACCCCCGAAGCAGGTAAAACAAAGTAAGGTAACATGGTTTACTTT